TAGTGGTGAAGGTGGTGGATAAAAAGTAATGACGAAGTAGATTAGTGGTGAAGTTGTGGTAGTGGTAGAGGAGATGGAGTGACGGTGGTGGAGGAGAGGTAATGGTAGTAGTGCATTTTCTTATAGTGGATCGCTAAAAGTGGTCGCTAAAAGTGTTAAGCGAGAGAGAGAGACAAAGTGGTCGCTAAAAGTGCATTTTCTTATAGTGGATTGCTAAAAGTGGTCGCTAAAAGTGTTAAGCGAGAAAGAGAGAGAGACAAAGTGGTCGCTAAAAGTGCATTTTCTTATAGTGGATCGATAAGTCCAGTGGGAGCTTGGTAAGTAGAAAAGAGGGGAGGGAGAAAGTGAGCAAGGCGAACACAAAAACATATATTTGCAATTGATCAAAGAAACATAAATGTGAAGTACCAACACAAAATACTCTTCGAATTACCAAATCTGGAAATTAACATATGCCCAGAACAAAATATGGTGGCCAAGAGAGAAAGAGGAAGATATTAGGGCACGATGGCAGGAAGCAAGAGAGGATGAAGAGGGACAACAAAAGCAATGGAAAGCGGGTTTACCGGCAGGATTGGCTGGTGGTAGGGATGGGTCGTGCGAATGTGGGGACTATGGCGATGGAATGGGGTTCCACTGTATTCATAGAGACGGTGCCAACGGTGGCATGGTGCCGTAGTGATTACAGGGCGATGAAGGTGTGTGAGGTAGAGATTGCTAAGAGAGGGAGTCGATTTGTGAGAAATTAGGTCAAAGAATAAGATCTAGAGAAATAAACAGAAATCAACTTACCTGGTCAGAATGAAATACTCTAAGTTCGTGAATCGGCGGTGTCGACTTTGGATTTCAGGCGGTACAACGGTGGAATGAAGCAACAAAATTGTTTGTGAGGGAAGAAGAATGAGAAGAAGTAGTCGTGTGAGAGAGAAGAAGAGAAAGAGACATGAGAAACGTAGGAGGGATTAGGGGCAAAACTTGGAAGGTCCCAAATTTTGAGAGGGAATTTCAAATTAACATAAAATTTTGGTAATTACACACATTATACGATTAATTAGACAACAAATTAAATTATCGTTAGCTAATTTAAATGATAGTGATAATCACTTTTTTGCCAACGAATCCATTGATGACATCTCTCTTTAACTCGTAAGTTTTCCATTTACTTGCTAGTTCATCTTTGCCTTTAATTTTGTAATTTTTATTTCTTTAGTAGAAATTTCACTATTTTAATAATTTCACCTAAATAGTAAGGTTAAATTTCACTATTTGAAGATAATGAAATTTCACTACTCGAAATGATGGTATGTTTTATGATAACGATAACAAGGATAATAAAGGTGGTGGTGGTGGTGGTGGTTGTGGTGGTGGTGCTGACAGTGATAGTGACGGTGATGATGGTTGCAGCAATATTAGTGATGATTGTAGCAATTGTGAGGTTATAATAATGTATGTTGATGTTTGTGTATAAATATTTACAAATTCAGTTAGCATTAAATAATTATGTAATTTTATGTGAGAAATTCGTCATAATTTAAATGAATTTTATCCTACAAACTCAAACTCAATTATAATTGGATTCGAATGGATTGGACAAAGGGTACCGCCTCTTACACCAACACCGCAAAATTATGATAATAAATTTTAAATAATTTATACTTTGCAAAAAAATATAAAAATTATTATTTAGAATTATCTTCACACTATGAAGCATGGGTATAAAAATTATCATTTAGAATTATCTTGACACTATGAATTATCTTCAAACTAGTCACATACTATAAGAAATTGCACATTTGAAAACTAATTTTTTAATCGTTAAAAATCATTTTTAGTCGACTAAAATTATTTTAGTAGTCAAAAAATACCATTCGTTGACTAATAATTTAGTCGCCATAATTTTTTTTATAAATTTATTTTGAACTTTTATCGACTAAATTTTTAGTCGTAGATAAATTTTATCGCTACTATGTTTCATTTAGTGATTAAAATATATAGTCGCCAATTCTTTTTTCCATTATCGGCGACAAATTAATTTTTTAGCCAAACATCTAATTGACTCCTTTAGCTAGCAACCAAACTTTTTTGTAGGCAAAAGATTGTAGCTTTTTTGGTGACTAAATGTTTAGTCATAAAAAATATCGACAGTTTTTTTGATGACTAAATTTTTAGTAGGCAAAAACTTCAAATTTTTTGGGCTACTAAATATTTAGTCACCAAATAAAATTTATTTTTCATCTTATTTTTTTTTTACTACAAATTATTTAAACACCAAAAATATTTTCTTTCTTTTGGCTACCAAATATTTAATCGCGAAGAAGCCTTTATTTCCTTTTGGCTACGAATTGGTTAGTCGCCAACAACTTCACTTCTTTTTAGCTACTACATGTTTAATCATAAAAAACTTTCTTTAGTTTTTATTTTTATACATATATATTTATTTCGCCACAACCTGTATTTATTCTGTGCAACCTGTACCTTGTATATACAGAAAATAATAACAATCCAAGAAAATTTAACTATTAACGTCAAATTCGAAATATAATAGAAATTCCATATGAATCAAGCATAATCCAACCTAAAATAATAATTTTATACAAAACAGAGGATTATAAAAAAATCATGTTTACCGTACACAAAAAAAGAAATATCCACAATACCATGTCAAATGGTAATCTATACCATGCCAAAAGTAATATGTTATATGCGAAAAGCAATTTGTACCATGCCAGTAGTTATCTGTATGAACAATGGTAATCCAAAAAAAAAAAAACAAAGGACAACATAATAACAGATTATAAAAAAACAATGTCCTTCGCACAAAAATACAGAATATCCACTTTTCCACGCCAAAAACCATCTGTAAAAATAAAATTCACATCTACATTAAAATACAATACATCCACATCTACATCCACATCTATTAATTCATTCCCGGTACAAATTATTAATATTTTCTAAAATACAATACATCCACATCTACATCAAGATTCACATTCAAAAAATCTTATACCAAGGCATTGACCGGACAACTTGGATCATTGTCACCCACAATGAACAATGCAGGCACCTTTATATTAGCAACGACAGATGGGTCAATTCTTGTCCCATAGAATGAAACCCCAATGCCAAAACAGGCACCCCCGTCCTGGGCGAGCGCATCTATTAGTTGGCCACTTCCAAAGAAGAATCCGATGATACCAAGCTTCTTTGAGATTCCTGCAGCTACAAACTCATCCATCATCCATTTTTTCGAGGTTGTAATGTCTTTTGCAATCCTTTCAGGGGTTTGTTGTGCCAGCCATTCTTCAAATAAAGTCTTTGGTCTGTCCTTTGCCCATGGATCCCCACGAAACAAGTCCGGTACTAGTACACTAACAATATTTATTTCAAGAAAAACACCAGTAAAAATTATATAAAGGATCATTTTAAGAATCATTAACAACGTTGACAAAGATATGGAAAGACAAGACAACATGGATATCAATGCATAGACCAGCAGCATTAGATATAGAATGCTCAAGTTTGTTCAGGTGCCAAAGGCATAAAACCGTAAATGAAGCCTTCTTAAAAATTTATTTGAAATATATTTTTCTTTTATGTTGAAATGCAAAATTTAACTTTTAATGTCAAATTCAAAATATAATAGCAATTCCACATGCATCAAGCATAATCCAACTTAGAATAATAATTCTATACAAAACAGAGGATTATACAAAAATCATGTCTTCTGTACACAAAAAGAAATATCCACAATACCATGTCAAATGGTAATCTATACCATGCCAAAAGTAATATGTCTATGCCAAAAGCAATTTGTACCATGCCAATAGTTATCTGTACGAATAATAGTAATCCAAAAAAAAAACAAAGGACAACATAATAACAGATTATAAAAAAACAATGTCCTCCGCACAAAAATAAAGAATATCCACTTTTCCATGCCAAAAACCATCTGTAAAAATAAAATTCACATCTACATCAAAATACAATACATCCACATCTACATCCACATCATTAATTCATTCCCGGTACAAATTATTAATATTTTTTAAAATACAATACATCCACATCTACATCAAAATTCACATTGAAAAAATCATATACCAAGGCACTGACCAGACAACTCGGATCATTGTCACCAACAATGAACAATACAGGCACCTTTATATTAGCAACGATAGATGGGTCAATTCTTGTGCCATAGAATGAAACCCCAATGCCAAAACAGGCACCCCCGTCCTGGGCGAGCGCATCTATTAGTCGGCCACCTCCAAAGCAGAATCTGATGATACCAAGCTTCTTTGAGATTCCTACAGCTGCAAACTCATCCATCATCCATTTTTTCGAGGTTGTAATGTCTTTTGCAATCCTTCCGGGGTTTGTTGTGCCAGCCATTCTTCAAATAAAGTCTTTGGTCTGTCCTTTGCCCATGGATCCCCACGAAACAAGTCCGGTACCAGTACACTAACACTATTTATTTAAAGAAAAACACCAGTAAAAATTATATAAGGATCATTTTAAGAATTGTTAACAATGTTGACAAAGATATGGAAAGACAAGACAACATGGATATCAATGCATAGACCAGTAACATTAGATACAGAATGCTCAAGTTTGTTCAAGTGCCAAAGGCATAAAACCGTAAATGAAGCCTTTTTAAAAATTTATTTGAAATATATTTTTCTTTTATGTTGAAATGCAAAACAAGTTTGTTCAGGTGCCACAGGCATAAAAAACTTAAATGAAGCATTTTTAAAATTTTATTTCAAATATATTTTTCTTTTATGTTGAAATGCAAAATTACTAATTACATTCAAGTTTAAAACTTTCAATTCCCAAAATGAATTGAAACCAGCAGTATAATATTTAAAAAAAAAATTCGAGATTAAGATACCTCTCCCTACTTTTTCTGATTGTTAGTGTGATCACAAATGGAAAATCTTATTTGCGTAGCACCGAGGCCACTTCTGACTAGATACATATATGACCTATTCCCAGTGTATCAAACATCATCTAATACAAGTGTCTTTGGTAGTTGTAGTGTAGTACAAATGTATTTTCACACATGATGTCTAAAAATCAGGAAACATACTTGTAACTGTTGCAAGCAACACGATATGCAAAATCTCTAGTGGATGAATCCTCAAATCCTAAGATATCGGACAAGAGCAAGATGCCGGTTCCATTGTTGTTCTTCACTGCCGTGAAAAGACAAGCAAGGATACTGTCATCTCCCTCCCCTATCGAAATCTCAACTCCATTGACTAGCTCACAAGCCTCATCATTTATACCGTCTTCAACTTCCATTGGGCTGCGAGATGCTTTACAAGCCGTAGATTTTATAAAACATAACGAGGGCAGGCGAGGATTTGAAATTGCAGATTCTCTGGACAATAACTGAAGCCTTTATAGTCAAAATTTCCAATTATGAATAACAACTTTTTAGCAAGATAACATATAAAAGGCAGAAAGAAGGCATTTGTTTTAAGTGAAATACTCTTATGGCTCTACTTCAAGCATAAAATGCAAATCCAAAATATACATATTTGACCAGACCAATTATGAATAAGATATATAAATATTCCATTTTACAGCCAAAAAAAGACAATGACAAGTAAACAACATATGATTGGCACTCCTATCGTTTTCTCCTGTAAATTGTAGAACTAGTTTCCTCTACTTGTTTACAAGTGATCTAGGTATGGCTATAAGAAGAAAAAGTTCACTTGGGTTCGAATGATAACAAATTAAATTGATAAATATACCAAATTATCACAACACACAATTTGCATGTTGAAGCATCATTTATTTTGCAAGCAACGTGTCACTGGGATGGGATGGGAAGTGTTGCAGTTACCATTTAAGAAATGCATTTTCGGGTCAACCTTGGTCATGGAAACTCTCTTTTTATACATCAATTTTTCTCACCATATCATGCCAAGCAAAATATACCAAATTAAAACCATCAAAGGTTGTATACCAGAAACTGTATGAGGCCATTCACCCCATATATGAGTATGATGAATAAGACATGGCAAAGGATTTCAATGGTTAACTGAATGTAAACCATGGTTGGCTATTTTTACCTGATTAAGTGAAGGTTAAGGTCACAAATCATAATTTTTGTAAGTTTCAAAATCAAGAATAGACCATTTTACATTTCTAAAGATCAACAACATAAAGCATCCATCCAACCAAAAACTCAAATATGGGAGCTCTTACTATTAAGATGGTGGTCTAAAGAGAGAATTTGTTCCCCACAAATCCTTTTGCTTGGAATCCTTGATGTCCATTTTGCAAATGACGCTAATAACGGTGTCATATGTAACGTAAGCTTCAAATTTCCTAATGTGTTGACATTGAAACTTCTATGGATCTTTTAGAACACCGAAATGTCATTCTATTTTCCTTGTACACGAATGTGCTTAAATTATCAAAATTACCACTTAAAACTTTATTCACATACAGAAGCTACATTTCACACACATCAACCATGAACAAATTAGGTGGAGGGGGCGGGGGGAGGTGCTATGGCAGAAGGGTCAATAAACATGACAACAATACCAGATACATCTACCTTGCTTACTAATGATTCTAATCTGGCTCATTCCTCAGCCCACAACCACTTCCCATCCCCAACCCTTGCCCAAATCTTGACTCATACATAAATTTGAGTAAACAACCACTAAAACCCCCTCCACTCCTTTACTCAAACCTATACCAACTTGAGTTTCACTCAAATTTTGACTCAAATCAAGGGAGACTCATTTCCATTACTCAAATTTATATCCAATCAAAACTTGACACATAGGTGCATTTACCCAAATTTTCCAAATTTTCCTTTACTCTGACTCCTGGCATCCACTCAAAACTTAACACTAGGTAATTTTACTAAAATTTGATTTTATCAATTAGAGTGTTTCATATCAAATGAAGCCTTTTACTCAAACTTCTAGTCAATTTATTTATGTTTATTTTTATCTTTATTGATTTTTTTTTTTTTTTTGCTGATTACAGAGTGATTCTTTAAAACAAAAAAACAAAAAAACAAAAAGGTGTAATATCATTTAATTAATTCAAGATTCACAACTGAATCAACCCAAACTATAAGAACCAAATCACTAATATAATAAGCACGAATCTCAACAACCCATTAATATTTCTTCAAAAATCTGAACAATCAATAAAAAAAAACAATTTTAATAATAATAAAAAAAAGCAATGGAAACAAACTTACAGAAAAGGGAAGCTGAGGAGAAGCAAAAGTTGAAAACAAGTGAGGGTGGTGATGGTAGAGCTGCCTTGTAAGTAAGGTTAGAGCCGAAAACAAGGGTGATGATGCCAACCCCATAGCCATATCCCTCTACTCTTTTACTCTAAAAATGGTTGCAAAATTCAATTGCATAATGGAAAAAACAAACAAGTGTAATTGACCTAAACTAACTTAAGAATATACATCATTCTATCCATCAAAGAGCAATTATATTGACCAAACTGCATGCTATCAATTAAAGACAACTAATAATCTTAGCTTTCTAAAGAACTCAATTGAAGGAAAACAGTCAGTTAACAATGTATCTTCCCAATTACTTAGGATTTCTTCATCATTTACAAAAGTCAAGAAACGATGGATCTTGATACCTGCTTCTGTAGGAAAAGAAGTAGCATTTAAAACAAAAATTTCCCAAATACAAAGGTTCTTGCCCAATATTCACCAAGTGACAGTAGGTTTCCATCTCTTCTCAAGAAACAACAAGGCTACTTGCTCTCAATTTCAGATGTGGAACAAGCTACTGAGGAAGAAAACTGAATATTGTGACTTGTGAGTAACATAGTAAGAGGAAAATGGATTTCCTTGCAATTAAACAGCTATTTTCTCTTCTAAAGATGAACCATGAAAGTACTGTCAAGCATTAAATATGATTGCAAAAGATCAGACATCAGTCAATTGAAAAAATGATTTTCTCACCAATCCATGCAGGAGAAAATAAAAAGAAAATAAACAGGAAGAAGTAACAACAAAAATGGCAACGAAACCTATGGCCCGTCCAGCTATGGATTTGCTATCCTGATAATATGTATAAAATTCAACTAAAAAAGGGTGACCCAATGCACAAGTTTCCCACTATAGCGAGGTCTAGGGTGGGCAAGAAAAACACAGCCTTATCCTCATTTCTAGAGAGGAGGTTTCCGTAACTTGAACTTGCGCCACCAAGGAGACTAATGACAAAGCTTATAGTTAAGCATCTGATAGTTAAGGATGGGTAAATACAAAATAAGGTCATTGAAAGATATAACAAAGCAATTTCCTCTTACACTAAGGGTGGTGATAATGGACAGTCATATAAGTTAGACATGAGAACCATATGGGTAACTTTTTCCCATAGAACTGGAAATACTTTACATAGCATTATTATGCCTGGACTTTGAGTAGTTTGACATATTACCATGATTTAGAGGCATTACTGACATAATATGCAGAAGAATGAGATAAAATATGAGATGAAAAGTTCACAGACATGCAGATGAGATCAAAAATATCATCCTACTGAATTCCCATAAACGAATGAGGCAAAGCAAATACCAAAGTTAAAGCAGATATGCCATCTAAAGGCACCACGAAAGTTGTCCAAATAAGCCTAATGTTGCCTGTCCACAAGAGGATAATAAAATCATGAGTAGAAATACTGATATAGCGTATAATAGAGAATTGATATATCTCACAAGAATCAAAGCAACTAGTCATGAACATAATATAACTGACCCAAAACTGGACCACCGATATCCCTCATACACGTAGTTACATATAAGAACATATATGTTAAAAACCCAGAGAATAAATGGAAAATACTTTCTGTCCCAGAGAATAAATGGAAAATACTTTCTGTACCAGAGAATAAATGAAAAATACTTTATGTGTCCAAATATTTGCAGAAACAAAAATTTGATAAAATATGACAACAATTAGAAGCATTACTTGATGGTGCTGGTATTGATGCTACCAAATTCAATCCAAAGAATACATTATAATTTAAAATTTTAAAATCAAATAAAAGGAGTATTATATAATTTTAACATCTCCACAAATTCAATGATTGTGCAACCTGTCACTATACCTTAATGCCCAATAGAAAATTCTGAATTTAGCGAAACTTGAAAATAAAATTTAACATATCCAAAAAAGCAATTATACTAATTATTATTTGTTTATGAGTAATGCTACAATGACGATTTATTTCTACCATCATATCTTACCATATGATGTGTCAGTCTGTCAGCATTGCATTGGAGATATACACAAGTTGTGGGTCCTATTAAACCAGTATTGTGTTGACAAGATGGTAAGAATAATATGGTATAAAAATGTGGGAAGTGTAGCCATATTGTTTGTTATAATATTTACATTAACAGTTTATCATTCTATCTGTATCTCTTCTGAAAGACCATATAGGAATTTTTTATATTTCACTACCATTTCCATACATTCAAAACTTTTTCAACGTTAATAGTTCCATAAATCTTACCTTGCCAGTTTGCGGCCTGTTTTTACAACTTACTCATTTTTGGTCTATGGAAATCAGAAATAGTCTCCGTAAATCATATGGTGTGCTAACGATTTGTAACAATAGGCCCATGTGGTATTCAACATGAAGTTCTGAACTACAATTTGAAGTCCTTCTAGAAAAACCAAGCTTTAAGTAGTATCTTAACATTACAATGAGTTCATATCATTTAGATTTAGAATTGTCTTCCTATTTGAATTTTTTTGCATAAAATTCATGAAAATGGGAACTGGGACGCAATTTTAGAAGTTAGGTGCCTTATACATTTGATAGCTCCTCCCTTCTGTAGCAATAAGGCATATAGGTTTAGGGTTAGGAAATAAGTCTATATAAAGGCTTAAACAAAAAAATGTTAAAAAGGATGATGACATTGGAGTTCATTAAACTGTCAAAGATTCTTTTATCTCCAACAACTCCCTTTTCTATCTTACATCAAGATGCATGGAAGTCACTTTTGCACCCTTCTTGGAACTCTTTTTTGCCTTACTCAATTTCCTCTTTCTCCCTCTTAATTCCTTCTCCTTCTCTTTCAGTTCTCTTAAAGTTTACAACCCCAGACGAGGTTTAATTCATGTAGCTAAATAAAAGTTTCAATTGACAAATCATTTCTTGTCAATTCCAACTTCCAAGTAGTCCAACTTTACGAAAGGTAATAAATTCTATACACATTACAAGCAAATTCAAGCATCAATTATTAGTAATGACATGTGAATATCTTGTACATAGTCTAAAAATGATCAATTAAAGAGATCCTTAATTTTTACACAAAAAGAAAAGAAAAAAAAATGTTTTAACCACCAACACTGGCATAGGAGAAAAGAGGAGAAACTAATTTGAATTCACAGAAGGAGCTAACTTTTGAGAAACTCATCATATCACGGTTAAGTCAAAACAAATACCCAAAAATATACAGAGATAATCAAGAGAAGGAACTAAAAAAACTGCAGAATTGAACAATTCCAATAGATTAAATGATGAAATCAAAAGTTCATGTAATCATAAATACCAAAGAAATCAATCAATTTGAAAGGTAAGAATCGACTTATATGTATATCTCAAAAGGAAAAAAGAAAAAATTGGGGAAAACATACCTGAAGCAGTCTCCATGGTTTACCTTGAAGTTGTGAAACCCTAGAGAAAGAGGGATGAATAATTTACGCAGTAACAGAGGGAAGAAAAACCTGAGAGAGAAACACAAATAGAGACAAAGAGAGATGAAGGGGGAGAGAGAGAGAGAGAGACGCAGGGGGAGAGAGAGAGAGAGAGGATTGTAGGGATGCGTTTTTGTTACGGATAACAGAGAACTATAAAAAATATATGGGTTGTGACCGAAGTGGGAAGTCGCTGCCGCTGCTGCTACAAGCAGTCCGTGAGGGTAACGCGAAAACAAGAGAGAGAGAGAGAGAGAGAGAGAGAGAGAGAGATTGTTAGGGTCTGTGTGAGCGAGTATGAGAGGAAAGAAGAAGAGAGGAGAGGAGGGTTACATGGAACTCTTCCCACACTGGAGGTGTTGGGGATGTGAGAGAGAGAGAGAGACGATTGGGAGTGAGAGAGAGTAATAGTGACGACTGGGAAAAGATTAATGGTTTTTTTTTTTCTGTTTTTTTCTTTTTTCATGTAAGAACTAAAAGGATAGGGAAGAGGGGGAAAAGAGGGAGGGCAAAAATAGAACATTTTGTGACGAAGGAATAAAAGGAGTCGCAAAAAAATTAAAACAATTGCAAAAAGAAAAAAAAAAAAAGCGCAACAAATTGTCGCATATAATACTATTTTTTGCAACGATCTTAGATTTTCCGTCGCAAAAAAATTAAATTGACGACGGCTTCATTTGCTGTGGCAAAAACATGATTTTTGCGACGATTTTCACACCATCGCAAAAGGTTCCATGTCCAATACTCCCTTTTCTAGTAGTGTATATCCCAACAGGTCATACTTGTCACGAGCAAGCTGCCAGTGACATCCCTAGAGTGGTTTACGCACTGTTTCGTATTTTTGCCCCCTCTTAATGCCTTTTTTCAACTAAGTTCAAAGCGTTTTGAACTCTAACCCCCAACCTATGTGTCCTAATTACATGTTGTCTATCCCCACAGGTCGTATTTATCACAAGCAAGCTTCTTGTGACATCCCCAGAGTGGTGCTTTGCCTTTTTGCCCATCGAACGCCCTTTTTCAACAAAGTTTACGGTGTTTTGCACTCTAACTTCCAACCTACGTGTCCTAATTACATGTATTTTATTCCCACAGGTCGTATTTGTCACGATCAATCTTTTCATGACATCCCCAAAGTGGTTTAGGCACTGTTTCACATTTTCATCTCGAAACGCCCTTTTCGACAAAGTTTAAGGAGTATTTTACTAACTTCCAACCTACATGTCCTAATTACATGCCGTCTGTCTCCATAGGCGTATTTTATTGTATAAGCCAACCTTAATGAAGTAAAAATATGAAATTGTATTACAAAAAATAGATGATTATTATTGAAATTATATTTGTCGTCCATTATTTTAAAACAAATATGATTCGAACATATAGCTACCGATGTCCAATCATCTTGATTTTTGCATGAATATTCTACCCAACAAGTCTAAAGTATTGTCTTTAAATAATGAAAAGAAATTTAAATAAGCATAAAATATCACCATTGTTAACAAAAATAGACAAAATAGAACATATTCAAAAGAGAAAACAAAAAAAGAATATACTTCTAGAGAACCTTATAAATTTCAGCAACATTGTTAACAAAAATAGACAAAATAGAACATATTCAAAAGAGAAAACAAAAAAAGAATATACTTCTAGAGAACCTTATAAATTCTAGCAACTATAGGGGGAACAACATGTACTGCGTTAGGTGAAGCATTTTATAGAATACAAAGTATACATATTACATATAGACACGCATATAATCCAAAAAAAAAAAAAAAAATTTGATTATACCCAAATAAACAAAATATGCTGAATCAAATTCTCAAATAATGGATTTAGAGAGGAAATGAAAAGAGAAAAGGAACCAAACCACAAACCATTATATTTGCTTTGAGAGAAGTGTGTACAAAGTGTCTAC